GGTGCTGGCAATTGGAATCCAGGGCTCCTTGCATGCTAGCCATCTAGGTGTGTGCATGGTAAATGGAAACACAGACATATACCACATACACACAAAACTGAGCTACATCCCCAGCTACAAGCACTGTCCTTTATGTGCAATATTTATTTTAACACCAGCAACAGTCTTATAAGGTAGGGGTTATTAGCCTTTGCATTAAAAAAAAGCCGGGCACAGTGGTGCACGCCTTTAATTTCAGCACTCAGGAGGCAGAGGCAGGCCAATATCTGTGAGTTCAAGGCCAGCCTGCTCTACATAGTGAGTTCCAGGCCATCTGGGGCTACAGGGAGACCCTGTCTCAAAAAAAAAAAAAAAAAAAAAAAAAAAAAAAAAAAAGAGGCTAGACATCTTCTGGTAGAGAAGGAAACCTGGGATCCCATTCTAAACCTGCAGTCTCTACTATGGCTATCTCTGTCCGGTGTTGAGGAGAGCTAGAGAAGCACCCTAGGACCCTGTGAAGATGAAAGTCATAGCTTACACATTCTAAGCATTAGGCCACTTTGTGTCAAAGCCACGATGAAACCTGGATGCAGGGATCAGCTGGGGGAATTGATATTTATATCTGAGTCCAAGACTTTGCTATGTATCTGCAGGTGTAAACAAAGTCTGGGTTCTATGTTGCTGTGATAAAAATACCCTGATCAAAATCAACTTAGGAGAAAAGGGGCTTATTCAGCTTATAAGATCATGTTATAGCTCATCCTTTCAGGGAAGGCAAGGCAGCAGAAACTTGGAGCAGCTATTCATATCCGTAGTCAAGAGCAGAGAGAATATGGATATGTGCATACTTAGGACTCAGATCACTTTTCCACTCATATAGTTTGGGACCCAAACCAAGGGAATGGTGCTGCCCACAGTGGGTTGGGTCTGCATATATCAATAAACACAGTCAAGACAATCCACTACAGATACATTCATAGGCCAACTTAATCTAGACAATCCCTCCTTAAAACTCTCTTCCTAGGTGAATCTACATTGAGTCAACTTGATAAAACGAACCATCACAATTGTAAAGTACTTGCCTTACGAGCACAAGGATTAAGTTCATTCAGATCCCTAGCACCCATGTAAAAGTTGTGTGTGGTGGAGTGTGTCTGTAACTCTAATGCTGGGGCAAAAAACAAGTAGATCCCTGGGGCTCACTGGTTAGTCAACTTAGCCAAATTAGTGAGTTCCAGATTCAGTGAGAGACCTTGTCTCAAAAAGTATGATGGTTAGCAATCAAGGAAGACATTCTGATACCAACCTCTGGCCTCCACTTGCATGCAATACACATGCACACTCACATACGCACACACAGATACACTACATTACACATACACACACACAAATACACTACATTACACATACACACACACACAAACAGTATAATTATTAAAGGCTGTTTCAGTAGAAATCTAATATACACTAGACCTTGTGTGACCTCTTCACCTAGAGTCTCAATTTCTTATCTATAAGTAGAACCAACAATGCCTAAGTACTTAATAAGTAGGTACTTCTGTTCCCAGAATCTCAGGTCCCTTGCTTTCCGCTTTACCAAAAAACAGGGAGACAGGAACTGGGAACAGAAATGGATTTGTTTACAGTTTTGAGCAGAGCTGAGGAGAGAAAAATTCTTAGCTTCTCTAAGCCTTATAGAAAAGAGGAAACAAAAGCCAGGAAGTTGTGCACATGTAGATTTAGCTGTGAGATAGGTCTTTCCCTTGAGAGACAGTTCCTCCTCTGGTACCAGGACTCCAGCCCATTCTCATGGCTGGCCTGGAATTTCCAGGAGAAATTCTAATTCTTTGGGACTCTTATTACACTACTTATTATTTTTTTTTTAATCTTTTTTGAGACAGGGTCTCCTTGTAGCGCCAGCTGTCCTGGAACTCACTATGTAGGCCAGGCTGGCCTTGAACTCACAAAGATCCACCTGCCTCTGCCTCCCAAATTCTGGGATTAAAGGCATGTGCCACCATGCTGGGCCTTACACTACTCCTTATTCTTTCATGAAATTAACCCAAACTTAATGTACAAAATAATGGCTTTCATCACAACATTTTCATATACTACTTACCATTCTGTGTGGTAGTTTTACATCCCTAAACCATGAAAGGACATGTACTATATTCAGTTCATTATGCATGTTCAGAGTTTTGAATGTGTGCACAACATATAGACAAGCCTTTATAACATGTTTCTCTAGTCGCGTTACTGAAGTCAGAAATGTCCTACTTCAGTCCAGTGAGGCCTGCATGACAATGATTGCTATCTCCATTTTAGGGATCAGGACTCTAAGGGACTTATCAATAACTAAGTGGCTTTCTCAAAGATTAAGGCTAGGCCAAGCAAGGTGATGCATGCCTGTAACTCCAATACTTGGATGAGGCAGGAGTTCAAGGGCCAGCTTTGGCTACATAGTTAGGTCATCTCAAAAGAAAAAGGACTCAGTTGGATGTGGTGGCCCATGCCTATAATCTCAGCACTTAGGAGGCAAAGGCAAGAAGATCTAGAGTTCAAGGCCAGCTGGCACTATATTGAGACCACTCCAAAAAAGGGAGGCAGGGGGGTGGGGGGGTGACTAATTCAGCATCCTCTTTCTTGGTTTTTCTAACACTTTGGAGTTCACTCTGTACCCCCCCACCCCATTCTCTGTAAAGCTGAAGGATAATGGATACCCCCAAACACAGCCTGATAATGAGGTGAAGCCTGGAAAGGGTAGGAGTGAAATGGAAAGAAGAGGTAGATGGAGAAGGGTGAGATAAAGAAGGGGGACTCTTTCTTCCTGAGACTGAGTTCTTCCTTGAAGCCATAAGCCTGAGCCCAGGACCCCAGCCTCACTCCACTCAGGCTTCCTTGTCTTGTTATCCCAAGGGTTTCAGGGAGAGCCCAAATACGTCCCTAGAGATGACTCCCTACACTGGCCTCAGGGTTCCTGGAGGGCCTGAAATGCCTATATGCACTTAGGGCTCTGAAGGACAGTGTCTAGGAGAAATTCTAGGAAGGAACGAGGCCCAGAAACAGCCTTGGAGAGTTCCTGCAGCTCTGCCTTCCCGGCACCCTGCAGAGCCTCTGGCAGGCAGGGCTGCATGTTCACCAGGGTGTCACTGATAGCTTGATTTTCCATGTGAGAGTATGGACAGAAGGTGTTCTCAGCCAAAAATAAGGAAGGGGAAGGAACTGGGGACAAAGGGTCGGTGAAAACAGTACCCTGAACAATGTGTACAGAGCACCCAGCACCATACCTAGCAGACACTCTGAATATAAAGGGTTAAACCTCTTCTGTCCCTAGGGAAATCGGAAAGGCTACCACCTACCCAGGCCACATTTCAATTTGTCTCATACACTGGGGCTTCACTCCATTACCCATGGAAATTCAGCTTCATTGATATGAAGGGGCTAATTACTACATGAGACATAATTACAAGACAGGAAATGGATTTATAGCTGCTATCAGTTGGGGGGATGCTGCTGCAGGCCCAGGCTGCTCTGCATTCCTGCCTATAGGGCTAAGGCAGACCCCCAGTCCCCCTGGACAGTCTCACTTTACCAAAAATGTACTCCTACAGAGGTCAGGGGTACTATAGAGCTCTGGAAATCAGTCATTTTTTTCTCTGAATTTATGCCACCATTTGTGATATATTCCTGGGACATATTATATTTCCTTGATATAATACAAATCATACATATTTAAGAATTTAATCTCACAGGAAACATTTAAAGAGGAAGGTAACTGTGAGAACAGATCTTCAAATGGCCAAATGGAGAGATGTACAGAAATTTATAAGGCACTAGAATCTGTTTTTCATGAGGTGGGGGGAGTGAATGAACCCTGAGAAAAAAGTACATATCTGCTAGGTTGCTTAATGCATAGCTCTTTTTAGAGTTCCTTATGGCTTCGATTTTTTCACTTTAAAAATACTGTATCTTAATTCATATACACAGATAGGCAGAGACAATAAATAAAAGTGAAAAAGTCCATTCTCATTGCCAACTAAAGGTAAACAAATTAGTGATATATAAAATTTAGGAGCTGAGGGACTGAAGAGATGGCTCAGCAGTTAAGAACATTGGTTGTTCTTGCAGAAGACCCGGGTTCAAATTCCAGCACCTACATGGTAGCTAACAACTATCCAGTAACTCCAGTCCCAGGGGATCTGACAGCCTCTTCTGACCTTCGAGGGCATTGTACGACATGGGTGTACTTACCTACATGCAGGCAATACATGCATACACATAAAATAAAAAAAATAAAATAAATAAGATTAAAGAAAAAAATGTAGGAGCTGAGCCTGGTGGTACACACCTGTAATCCCAGCAACCAGGAGGTTCAGGTAGGAGGATTATGTGTTCAAGGCTAGCCTAGGCTCAGTGGCTAGACACTGCCTCAAAAACAAAATTAGGGCGGGGTGTGGTAGCACACACCTTTAATCCCAGCACTCGGGAGGCAGAGGCAGGCAGATCTCTGTGAGATCAAGGCCAACCTGGTCTCCATAGTGAGTTCCAGGCCAGCTGGGGCTACAGGGGATCCTGTTTGAAAAAGACAAAAGGAAACAAAACGTATGCAGCACACTCCGTGTTGAACACTCAGCTTTGCCTACATTACTCATTCATCTTCACAAGAGCTCGGTGAGGAGGGTACTGCCAACCACCCCAACCTGCAACCAAGGAACTAAGTGGGACTTAGAAGGTCAACCAAGGTGCCCAAGTTCACAGAGGCCACTGCCGGCTTGGAAGGTTGGACCTCAGCCTGTCCGGAGCCTGGATTCTTAAGAACAGTGAGAAAACTCCCCTAACTAGAAATCTTCTCAAACGTCTTAAAAACACAACTCCCTCTGTCACAGGACCTCCTGATCACGTACATATCTTAAAGAAATTTAAGGAAAGGCCTGGCGGGGTGGGCGGAGCAGACGGGGCGGAGCGGCGGGCCGAGGGGAGGCCACGCCTCCCGCAAGGACCCTTAGAGCCGGCCTCCGTGCGCCAGAGCACTTCTCTTTCCGGTGGGGCGGCAAGCTGGGCCTCATGGAGGCGGTTCGCCCGGACTGCCTAGGAATTGGCGCTGTGGCCTCGCCCGGCGAGGGGAGGCTGGCGCCGGAGGCGAGAGTGCACTTCCGAGTAACCCGGTTCATCATGGAGGCAGGCGTCAAGCTAGGGATGCAGTCCATCCCCATCGCCACCGCGTGCACCATTTACCATAAGTTCTTTTGCGAGATCAACTTAGACGCTTATGATCTTTACCTGGTCGCCATGTCTTCCATTTACTTGGCCGGCAAAGTGGAGGAGCAACACCTGCGCACTCGTGACATCATCAACGTGTCGCACAGGTACTTTAACCCGAGCAGCGAGCCCTTGGAGCTGGACTCTCGCTTCTGGGAGCTCCGAGACAGCATTGTGCAATGTGAGCTGCTTATGCTGAGGGTTCTGCGCTTCCAGGTCTCCTTCCAGCATCCACACAAGTACCTGCTCCACTATCTGATTTCTCTCAAGAACTGGCTGAATCGTTACAGCTGGCAGCGAACCCCCATCTCCGTCACGGCTTGGGCCCTTCTGCGTGACAGCTACCACGGGGGACTGTGCCTCCGCTTCCAGGCCCAGCACCTAGCCGTGGCGGTGCTCTATCTGGCTCTACAGGTCTATGGAGTCGAGGTGCCTGCAGAGGGTGAGGCCGAAAAGCCATGGTGGCAGGTGTTTAGTGATGACCTTACCAAGCCAATCATTGATAATATTGTGTCCGATCTCATTCAGATTTATGCCATGGACACAGAGATCGCCTAAGGCCCTGACCCAGGCCTGCTTGGCTGCCGGGGTATGGTGCCACCAAGTTGCTGTGACCACTGGGAGGACTGGTTCTGTTGGCTGAGACAGGCTAGTGAAGGCAATGACAAGCTGCCACTTTGTCCCCAGCAGTCCTTGTCCAGATAATACCGAGAACCTCCAGCTGGCCAGGACAGGCCTCACAGTGCGGCTTCCTAGACTTGGCTGCATGGGCTTTTGCCCTTTGAGAGGACTGTTGTTGAGGCATGGACAATAGAAGTTGAGACAGTCACTAAAAGGAAAGGTGAAGAATAGATAAGACTGCATCCTTAGAGTTTTTAAAAACCAGATTTGTAAAAGTATAAATGTGTTTCAATAAGATTTTATTTTGTGTAATAAAAATTATGCAAATAAAAATAAGGGAAAAAGTTTAATGCACAAAAGTCTGCCTTGTAGTATTACTTAGTTATAATAGGGGAAATAGTGGAAGCTCAGTGACCAACATTGGAGAGTAAAGTATGGTACATCCATAAAATGGACTGTTATTCAACCAGTAAAACTGCTGTCAACAAAGGGTTTACCACACCATGGGGAAAGTTTCATATAAGGCAGTATAAAAATAGAATTCAAAAACATAGATTATATTCTTTACAAAAAGGAATTATGCACCAGGTGGTGGTACGTGCCTTTAATCCCAGTACTCAGAAGGCAGAGACAGGTGGATTGAGGCAAGCCTGGTCTACATAGGGAGTTCCAGGTCAGCTGGGGCTACAGGGAAACTCTGTTTCAAAGAAAAAAAAAATGCAAAGAAAGACAGGCAAACACATCAAAATACCACTTTGGAGTTTTTTTAAATGCATGGCTATGACTGTAAGAAATAATCTGTCTTTTGTTACCGCCTTTTGTGGTTTGCATTCTCAACAGGCTTCCGAGGCCCTGCCCATGATTGTGAGGCTGTTATGGTGAGGTCATTGTATCTCTCCTCACAGATGTCTGTTTAAAAGAACCACTATCATCACAAGTTATTATCCCAAGTTTTCATACACTGGACTTCCCTTAAGTAGAAGACGTGTGTCAAAGCTGCCTCCTTTGTCCTGGCTGATGGCATCAGGTGCAGAGTAAGGGGGCCCATTGAAGACCAAGGAAGAAGGCTAAGCATGGTGTCACATGCCTGTAATCCCAGCAATTGACAGGTTAAGGCAGGAGGATCCTGAGTTCCAGGCCAGCCTGGGCTACAGAGTGGGATCCTATCTCAAAAAAAGAAAAGAAGGGCTGGAAAGACAGCTCAGTAGTTGAGAACACTGTTCTTGCAGAAGACCTGGGTTCGAATCCCAGCACCCACATGGCAGCTAACAACTGTCCATAACTCCAGTTCCAATGCATCCGACAGCCTCTTCTGTCCTCCACGGGCATTGCACGACACAGGTGCACTACACACATACACATAAAATAAAATATTAAAAAAGAAGCCAAGGAAAGGAGGCATATGAGAACAAGACCACAGGAACCATGAGACTCTTGAGGTTATTCAGTAGTTCATGCATACAACAAACTTTTCCTGCATTCTTACCATGTGTCAGGCACCATTTTGGGCTCTATATTCTGAGAATATAGAAAGAAAAACATTAACAAAAGCTCAGCCATGTTGGCTGTAGAAGTGCCTGTTGATCACATAAGAAAACGGGATGAAGGGGCTAGGGATGTAGCTCATTAGGTAGAGTGCTTGCCTAACATGTACAAGGTCCTGGGTTTGATTCCTAACACTACATAAAGCAAGGCATGGTGATGCATGCCTGTCATCCCAGCACTCAGGTGGAGTCAGGAGGATCAGAAATTCAAGGTCATCCTTGGCCACATACTGATTTCATAAGCCTGGGCTATATAAAATTCTGTCTTTTTTTGTCTTTTTTTTTTTTTTTTTTTTTTTTTTTTTTTTTTGGTATTTTTGAGACACGGTCTCCCCGTAGCCCCAGCTGGCCTGGAACTTGCTATGAAGACCAGGCTAGTCTACTGGGATTAAAACCATTTGCCACCACACGGGGCCGAGATACTGCCTTAAAAAATAAGAAGCTGAGGCCAGCGAAGCATGGTTATGCACGCCTTTAATCCCAGTACTTGGGAGGCAGAGGCAGGGGGATCCCTGTAAGGTCAAGTGCAGCCTGGTGTTCAAAGCAAGTTCTAGGCCAGCTGGGACTACAGGGAGACCCTGTCTCAAAAAGACCAAAAAAAAAAAAAAAGAAGAAAGAAAAAGAACTCAGAAGCAACAAGAAGTCAGAGGCGGAGGAAGAACTAGAAATCAAGTCATCTAGCACTTTGTGAACATGAACTGCTAGTTGCTCTGGGATGGCAACCTCTGTAATAAGGGTTTCGTAGTCTCTGGAGCTTGCAGTGGAATGGTGGGAACACTAGTATGAGAGCTGGTCTTCCAAGTATATTTCTAGGGACTCACAAACTTCCTAACGTGGGCTATCAGGGCTTACTGTAGCTCCTGTACTAGCCCCACTATCCAGGGACTTCCATGTCAGGGTTCTGCCCCACTGCACCATTTACAAACCCACTTCAGGTAAGTTAGTTACTTTTCCTGAGATCCAGGGCTTTTCAGGAAGAAGGGCTATCAGGAGAAAATGGGATAGTGACAGAAAAGGCTGAGATCATCACCTCATTTGAAAAAAAGCTCAATCTGAGGCTGGAGAGATGGCTCAGCGGTTAAGAACACTGGTTGTTCTTGCAGAGCACCCAGGTTTGAATCCCAGCACCCATATGGCAGCTAACAACTGTCTATAACCCCAGTCCCAGGGGATTCCACAACTTCTCTGACCTCCACGGCCATTGCACGACACAGGTGCACTTATCTACATGCAGGCAATACACGCATACACATAAAATAAAAATAAAATTTAAAAGAAAAAAGCTCAATCTGACTTTGGAGCTTGAACAGTGTGTTCCCTCATACCCCTGAGGCCAGGCCACAGACCTCCAAGGGCGCCTCAGACAAGAGCCCTGGCCTAAGGTCATTTCCTCATCTGACTGAGCCTGTGAGAGAGCAGGCATTTTAGCTTCCCACACTCAAATGCTTTATAATTCAACAAGGCCTCAGACACCTGCACTATTGGAGGGGATCTGCAGTCTTGGGGAATGTAACTAGGACCTGAGTCAGATTATTATAGGCCTTGAGGTGGGGTGAGCACTGAAAGGAGACACAAGCAAAAGCTCAATGACTCCCATGATGCACCCTGGGCCTGGAGTAGGATTTCTCTGTGGAAAACTGCCTGCTTGTCATTCATTGTTAGGACCAATGAGGAAGGAGTTAAGAAAGGAGGACTGGAAGGCAGATCTCTGGAAGGAGAATCTGGGGTAGATAAAGTGGGCTTTGGGGCTAGAAGAGAGAATTTTGCTTGAGTGACCTTGACCAAGTGCTATTAATCAGCTGACTTAGTTTCAGTGCAAGAATGAAAGGAATGACACTATCATGAACAAAGATGCTTTGGGCCCAGACATTACTAGGGAAGGCAAGGTGGCTCACCTAAGAGACATTTTCCCTTATCAATTCACCATAATCCCAAATCCGCACATGGCCTGGCCTGGGAAGTTCCAAAACCTGATTTATGAGCACACAGATGATCTATTTCCCAAGAGTCATTATTCAAGAGCAAAGGAACCAGATCATAAAACTCAGAAGGCCAGAGCCATGTCAGATAGTCATATTGGCCTAGGGAACATGTTTCCATCCTGTGACCCCACTACCTCTGGCCTTATGGAAGAAACCCTTGCTTATTAAAGTTGGACTAAGAGCCTGTGACTTGCTTGGTTGATCTCAGTCATGATCCCCTGTCTGAGGTGGCTTGTAGCCCTGACCATCCTTCAGTGCCTTGCCATGTGAAGGCAGATATGAATCTGGTTAGTCTCTTTCATTTTCTTTTTTAAAAAATATTTTATTTATTGTTTTTATTTTATGTGTATAAATGTATTACCTGTAGGTGTGTAAGTCCACCCATGTCGGGCAATGCCAGAGGAGTTTAGAAGAGGGCACCAGATCCCCTGGAACTGGAGTTACAGACAGTTGTTAGCTGCCATGTTGGTGCTGGGAATCGAACCTGGGTCCTCTGCAAGAGCCTTAACCGCTGAGCCATCTCTCCAGCCCTTCTTCTTTTTCTTTAGTGTTCTGGCACTGCCAAATTCTTTGCAATTATTTTTTCTATCTTTTAAGACCAACCATTTGCCTCCTTTTCTCTCCCTCTTCCCCCATCTCCCCAAAGAGATGTGTGTGTATGTGTGTGTGTGTGTGTGTACATGCATGTGTTCATGTGAGAGTTTGTAGATCAGTACCTCACAAATCACTCAACAGATCATCATCCCATTGATCCCATCTTCTTCCTGAACAACCAATGAGATGAGTGAAGTAAGAAGAGCAAAAGAGAGGGCCTAGGGACCTTGGCCTCTGTCAGAAATAAAGCTAGGCTATAAGTAAGAAAGAAGGGGAAACTGAGGAACAGTGAGTGAAAAGGGGGCCTATGGAGTTCAAAATTTCTCTGTTTAATACAAAAAACCTTTGTCAGGTCTCCCCCCCGGCCTGAGCATTGCGCTTCAGCATCAGCTCTCAGGAAACACAATGAAGTCTGAAAACCTCATTGGGACGTGAAAAATCCAATTATGTCATCTAAGGGTTAAGTTCTCAGCCAGTCTGAATATAACATGGAAGCCCATTACCTTTTACTACCCACGTTGATGATGGCATGGGTTCCCACCTGACCTCACTTTATTACTAAAAGGCACCCCCACACACCCCATTTTATTTGAAGCAGTGCCCATGGCTAGGTCTTAAATGCCCATAAAACAATCACCAAACAACATTGCTCATGTTTTTCTCTTCCATTCCAGGAGCTCCATCCAGCCCCAGCAGCACCTGAGGGAGATTCTTAGGTGCCCCTTTGGAGATTCCCTGGGACCTACTGAGAATCCTGGCTTCTAGGACCCTCGGTATCACCAGATATTGTCCAGGACCTAGAACACAAACACTGTCACTTTTTGGTTTCTCCCAACCCAACAAAGCACTACTTGAGTGCAAAAGTTCATAAAGTTATCATAGTGACTTTCAGATTCCCAATCTTCCCCTCTGTGACCTGGCTCCCAGAGGCAACTACCTACCCCTCACCCAGTATGGAGATGCCCAACTAGCCAGGAGATGCTCTGCTCCAGCTCAAGCCCCACCCCCACCCCAGTGCAGTATTGTGGCTATATGTACCTGGCTCTGGGACAGGTAGCCCTAGTTAGTGACACCAATTCTCCTGTTTGCTAGCTGGTTTTCTCTCCTGAAAAATGGAGGAAATAATGGCTTCTGCTTCAGAGGGTCTTATCTTACATTATTTATTTGTGTATGTGTGTGCGCATGTGTGTCAGAGGTCAGATGACAACTTGAGAGGGTCGGTTCTCTCCT